AGCCCACGCCGTCGCCGGCGACCCATGGCAGCCCAGCTCCAGGTCGAGCTGTTGTTCAGCATCTTAGCTGTGGAGGGCAGTGTCACTGGCCCTCATCTGTGGGATCCGAACCGGGGCCCTCTGGCATCCCAAGCCAGCTCTTAACCATCACGCCACCTGGCTGGCCCAGAGCTCACACTCTTTAGTGAGCTCTTAACCAACTGAGCCACTCTGCCAGCCCTCGTAGTATATTTTTGATATTAAGATACCAACTCCGTAAGTCCTTTCACTACTGTTAGCACGCTTTCAAGCATCATTCATGTTCTACCCACATATGGGAATTCAATCTTTTGATGGCTGAATATTACATTATGTGGGTGGACCACATTTATATATCCATCCATCTGTTGATGGACACTCAAGTTGTTTCCATATTTTGGCTGTTGTTGGTAAGAGTACTGCTGTTATGAGCATTGGTGTCAAGTATGTTTGAGTCCATTTTCAGTTCTTTTGGGTACATAGTAGGAATGGAATTGATGGCTCATACGGTAATTCTGTTCAACTTTCTTAGGAACATGGAATAGCCCCTGGTCTGTCTCTGGGTTCAACATAAGCTTGCTGAAGCCGGGGTGGGTCTGCGTCTCCTCCCCTGTATCAGTCCTGGCCCCTGCACACTACCCCCATCATAGGGTCCAGCCCTCCCTGCTACAGCTCACCTCCATCAGTGGGCCCAGAAACCCCCACGCTACTGTGTCTACCTCATCCCTTGGCTCTCAAGTTCAGGGGGTCAGGGGGCTCCCCACTCCCCCTCCCTCCCAGCCTTCACTCCTTAGCGTAAACCGAGTCTGTTTTACATTCACATTGGCCAGTTATGCCAACACTAATGTAGGTGTTGCTGTGAAGGTCTTTTGCCATGTGGTTCAAATTCACATCCACAACCAGCTGACCTCAAGCCAAGGTTATTCTTAAGAATGTGGATAGGATGTCTGCAATCAGCCGAAGCCCTGGGAACAGACCCAAGGTTCCCCTGAGGAATAGGAATTCTGGCAAGACGTGCCTGGGTGTCCCCACCATGGCTGCCAGCCGAGTCTTCCAAACGCTCCTAGTAGACTGTACGCCTGTCTCCAGCTTGTTCTGCTTGGGGTGCAGCCCCACGGTCCTCAAGGGAGTGTCCGGCCTGCTTTAGGCAGTGGGGTGCTGCCACTCTCCCTCCGGCATGCCCAGGAAGTATGCTAGAAGGCTGAGGGGAGCAAAGGGATTCCCTGTGGGTCCCCAGGACTCAGCCAGGACAGGGCTCGTGCTCACGGTGGCTGGTCAAGGAGGAGGAAAGAAAAACGACCAGAGAGGCCACAGCTCATAGGCGGTTTAATCGTGAGAGGCTCAGGAGAGCAGCGTTTTTACCAGGTTGGTGTAAAAATGAAACAGGTCCAGACAAGCCTCTTTGAACTAACAATTATAGTAAATTTCAAAATCTGAGCATGAATTTGGATCACATTTCTTAAAAATTAACAGAGAACAGAGTGGGTGCCCGGCGCCGGCTGCTCTGCCACACAGGCCTGCATCACGGCCGGCTCCCAAGCACCACCAGCTCCACGGGGGTACAGCCCGGGGCCTCCCCAGCGACGCAATAAATAGAATTCACACCGAGCCACAGAGGGACCCGTGGGCAGAGGCTCGTGGCCTGGCCGACTCTTCACAGACCAGGGCAGGTCTCCAAGTCAGCAGCGCAGGTCCCGGCCCTGCGCCCACGTGCAAGGTGGCAGCGGAGTGGCCATGCGGGAGGTGGCCCCGGGAGGGCCAGCATCGTCCTACTTCTAGCACGGGCCATGGGCAGCTGCGTGGGGTGCAGGCCAGGGTCCCACCGGCAGGACCCTCCCTGGCCCCCAGGGACGCTGGGGCAGGTTAGCCCTCCCTCACACTGACGCGTGGCTCGGCCAGGGAGCTGTGGATGATGCCCAGGATGGCCTCAAGGCCACTGCCCTCCAGCAGCGTGCGGTGGTCCCCCTCGATGACGTGCACAGACACCTTGCCGTCGCACACCTGGGACAGGTTGTAGTCGGCGCCCAGGTCCTCCCCGTACGCACCGCCGGTCTTGGCGCGCAGGAGGGTCACGTTGCCGTGGTAGGTGGCCTGCGGCGTGTACTTCTCGGCTGCACGCAGCTTGTGGTAGAAGGAGTGCGCGGCGAAGGTGAGCGCGTGGCGGTCCAGGCCCGCGTGGCTCTGCGTGATCAGGTCCACGGCGGCTGCCACGCGCTCCTCCAGGCCCGCCAGCGGCAGCAGCGCCTCCAGCACCTGTGGGACGGGACGCTGAGTGGATGCCCATGTCTGCTCCGGTCACCTGCCCCCCACTGGCCCAGGACCCACCCTGCTGTGCTCGGCGTCCGTGAACTGCTGCACGAAGAAGCACAGGGCCTCGGTCTCCGCCTCGCCCTCACAGCCTGGCGTCAGCTTGGCGCGGTAGCTCTGCGAAAGGAGGAGGGGCTGCTGTAGCCTCGCCCAAGTGGCACGGGGACCTGGGAGCAGACCTGGGACACGGACGCCACCCTCACCTGCGTGTACGCCAGCACATAGGTGTGCGAGCCGTCGAACAGGAAGAGGCTGTTGTGTGTGGGGGCGGGGTTCTGCTGCGCCTGCAGCTGTGAGCACATCTCAAAGGCCACGCAGGCCCCGTAGGAGTAGCCGGCAATGCGGTAGGGCCCCTCGGGCTGCACCTGCCTGATGCACTCCATGTAGTAGGCGGCCAGGCTCTGGATGCTGTCCAGGGGTGCAGCTGTGAGGAGGGAGGAAGCAACAGGCTCAGCTGCGGGCAGGCGCCCCTGGGCCCCACAGGCATGCCACCCACCCGGTTCGGGAGGGCACCCGGTAGACGGGACCTGGCCGCACCTCGGGTGCACTGCAGGCCGTAGGTGGGGATGCTGAGCTTGGCGGCCAGGCTCTGGAACACGGCGGTGGAGCCCTCGATCGGGTGCACCAGGAACAGCGGCCGCTCGGAGCTCTGTACTGAGTTGAGCCTTGTCAAGGTTGGGCCCTCAGGGTTCACCAGCAGGATGCCGAGATTCAGCTGGGCCTGCTGCTGTGCAGGGCTACTCTCCTTGGGCATGGGGGCTGTCAGCTCTGTGGGGAAGAGCAGATGCCAAGGAGGGCCGGGGCACACCTGACGGGCTGCTGCAGGCGTTGGGTACGGGGTCATGCCCCCCAGCGAGCGCTCAGGAAGGGGCCAGATAAGCCCTGACGTGGGGGCCCCAGCTGTCTACAGGCCAGCAGCTCTTAGCAGGGTTGGGGTGGGGGGCCCCTGTGCTGGTTCCAGGACACACAGCCCAGACCCCGGAGAAAAGGCTGCCCCAGGGTGGCCCAGTGACCTCCTCCCCCGAGCTGTCTTCCAACCCGCACTCACCTTTAGCCGAGGTGGTCTGCAAGGTAAGTTCCTGCAGCTTCCGGAACGTGAGCTGTTGGATGTCTCGCATGGATAGCACCAGCTCGTGCTCACGCTCCAGCGTCTGGCGCACCTCCACGCCCATGAGTGAGTCCAGACCCAGGTCTGCCAGCGAGCTGTCCAGGTTGATAGAGGCCAAGTCTTGGATGCCTGGGGAGAGGTGCTCGGTTGGCCATTCGGGAATGGGGGTGGGGCGGGCCTGGGATGTGGGGCAGCAAGCCTGCCCCCTTATACAGCTAGGGGAGCCGAGTGTCGGCCTGTGGGGAACACTGCTCCCTCACCCAGGATGTGAGCCACGGCCTTCACCAGGTCCTGCTGGCTGCTGCTGTCACCGCGGGCTGCGGCTTTCTTCTCGGCTAACACAAAGCTGCTCAGGACCGGGTAGGGCTGGTTCAGGAACAGGTCCAGCACCTCCAAGCAGGAGACTATGCGCTGGGGCAGTGTCCCGCTGATGACCGTGTCGTTGGTGCCCATCGACTCCACGACGATGCCCACATCGCCAATGGCGCCCCACTGCACGGCAAGGCCTGCAGGAGAGGAGGATCGGGGTGAGCAGGGGCAGAGTGGGCGTGGCAGCCAGCGGTGCAAGGAGCGGGCAGTGGGGCCCACCTGGGAGACCATCTTGCTGACGCTTCTCGCATATGCGTTCCATGGTGGAGTTGGCGAAGCCGTAGTTTGTCTGGCCGGCATTACCACGACCGCAGGAAATCGAGGAGAAGACCACAAAGTAGTCCAGCTCGGGGCACGCCTCCCGGGTCACCCTGTGAGTGCTTGAGTCATACCCTGGCCGGCTGCCCCTGCCTGCCCAACTCGTCCTCCCTAGACCCTCGGCTCTGACCCCAGCAAAGCCTATGGCCTAAATCCTGCCAGGTGGTGGGAGCGCCACGTGGGGAGGGCATGGGGAGAGTCGGGGAGGACAGGGGCCGCTCCCTATACGTGCTGGGCCCGAGACAGGCTGAGCTGCGCGGGGGTGGGGGGGCCACACGCCCCACCTGTCCAAGTTCAGGGTACCGCTGTACTTGGGCTTGTTGACATCCTGGAAGAGCTCGGGGGTCTGGTTCTCCAACATGGCATCTCTCAGGACCTGGGGGGGAGGGGTCCTCAGTGCCTGCCCCGGCCTCAGGGCTTTGGCGGGTTCAGCCGGGGGCGATCCTGCCCCGGTGGCCAGCACCGGCCCCTCAGAGCTGCACTCACCATGGCCAGGTTGAAAATGCCTCCAACAGGCCCCAGCTGTGTGGCCTCCGCGATGAGGGCCCGGGTCCCGTCCAGCGAACTGGCGTTGCTGGTGGACACCAGCAGCTGTACACCCTGGCGCCTCAGCTCATGGACCTGCTTGGCCTGGTAGCCTATGGACCACGGGGCAATGGGTTGGTTGGGCCCATCGGGATTCTGGCCGCCCAGCCCGTGCGTCCCTCTTGCTGCCCCGTCCACACCCGCCCTCCTGCTCACCTGTACGAATCCCAGAGCGGGACGTCAGCACAAGCTTCTGAGCTCCTCGCAACACGAGCCACCGGGCCAGCTCGAGGCCGAAGCCACCTAGGCCCCCGGCGATGACGTAGCTCTTGTGGGGCGGGAAGAAGGTCTTAGACGTGGCCGCCATCAGCGTGGGTGTGGGCACCTGCAGCATGGCCTCCGGCTCCTCCTCACGCACCTGCAGTCCAAGCAGAGCCTGTGCTCACGTGCTGCCCGCAGGGGCCAGAGCCAGGGGCGCCAGGGACCCCCCTCACCTGGACCACCACTTTGCCGATGTGCTTCCCCTGGGCCATGTAGCGGAAGGCGTCCTCCACCCGGTCCTTGGGGAACACAGTGCAGTTGAGGGGTTGCACCACGCCGTCCCGGATGCCCGCCTGCAGCAGCTTCGCCACCTCCTGCCAGTCGGCACTGGGCTCATCAAATAGCGCGTCCAGCAGGATCCCATGGAAGGTCACGTTCTTCAGGAAGATGGCCATGCCTGCGTGGTGGGCGGGCGGGCAGGCGGAGGGCTCACCAATCGCAGCCCCCTGCCTGCCCTAGGGACTCCAACGCACCCTCCAGCCCCTGCCCACCCGCCCATCTCGGCCCACTGCCCAGCCTCACCCAGCGGGTGGTTGTTGGAAAGGTCAAATTTGCCGATTTCTAGGAAGCGGCCATGCTGGGCCAGGCACCGCACACTGGCCTGCAGCTTCTCTTCTGCCAGCGAGTTCAGGACCAGGTCCACACCTGAAGGGGGGACAGAGGGGTCCTCACAATCACGACCACTGCCAGGCTCACTGGCACGAGTCCAGAGGACCAGGGTCTTCTCCAGCTCCGTCAGGGAGGAGGGAGGGAGAGTGGTGGATGGTGGGTGATGGGGGTCAGGAGGCTGCTGGGCGCCCACGGGCCACGCACCCTTCCCAGCTGTGTGCCGCAGCACGTGCTGCTCAAAGGACGTGTCCCGGGAGTTGGCAAAGCTGGTGTCGTTGAGCTGGGGGAACCTGGCTTGGAGGTACGCCCGCTTCTCAGCTGACCCTGGCGGGGGAGAGGCACGTGCTGGTGAGCTTGGCTGAGGGGCTGCTGGGGCAGCGTCCGGCTCCCAGAAGGACGGCCAGCTCACCCACAGTGGTGAAGACTCGGCAGCCGAGGCTGAGGGCGATGGTGATGGCGGCCTGGCCCACGCCACCCGAGCCCGAGTGAATGAGCAACGTCTCCCCAGGCTGCAAGCGCCCGCGCACCACTAGGGAGTAGTAGGCCGTAGTGTAGACAACAGGCACCGAGGCCGCCTGCTCTAGGGTCCTACAAGCAGAGTGCACAAGGTCAGCTCAGGCTGGGGCCCCGGCCACGTCTGTGTGGGGCCCCAGGCTCACTGCCCAATGGACTCACCAGCTGGAAGGCACATCCCACAGGAAGTCCTGAGACAGCAGGACGGAGGTGGCCAGGCCTTCGGCGGGTACCAGCCCCATCACACGCTTGCCGCTGGCGTCTCTGCCGGAGAACTCCATGCCCAGCATACAGTCCCGGGCGGCCCACTTCCCTGGGGGTGGATGGCGGCTGAGCCTGGCATCTCCCCAGGAGGGGCCAGTCCCTCCCAGGTCCCTGCTGGCCACCGCTGCCCGCACCCTGCACCCCGCACCTGGAATGGCATCAGGGGACAGCTTGCCCGTGGCCAGCATGATGTCCCGGAAGTTGAGGGAGGCGTAGTAAACAGTGCAGAGCTGGACCCCGGGGCTGGGCGTCGGGGTATGGCGCAGTGGGGAGCAGACCCAGCGAATGGAGGAGAGATCCCCCCGGGTGAGAACGTTTACGAAGGCATGCTCTGTCTGCTCCTTTGGCTGGTCTAAGGGCGACAGGAAGTAGGGTTGCCACGGGGCCACAGCGGCCCTGGGTTGGGATCTCCGTCCCCTCCTCACCCCACTAGCTGCACAGTGAAGAACCTGCTGGGGGGCTCACCGGGTTCCAGGGGGAAGTGGTGGAAGGCCCCCCAGGCCCCGTCCCGGTACACGTTCATCACCAGGTCCGCCTGCAGCACCTTTTGCAGCTCCGTGGAGCCTAGGTCCATCTTGGGGATGGGGGACGTGCTGTTGAGGTTGGACACCAGGATGCACCTGTGGGAAGCACCAGTGAGGCGGGGATGGAGGGAGGGGAGGGGAAAGGGAGGGGGGTGCAGTGGGGGTGGGCCCAGCTTCTCTCACCGGACCCGGTGACCTCCAGGCTCCCTGCGCAGACAGTTGACCATGCCCAGGACGCCCGATGTGGTGCAGCCCACTGCCGTCAGCCACACAGGCCGGGAGGAGGAGTCGCCCAGAACGCTCTGCAGGACAGGGAAGGGTTGGCCTCTGGGAGTCCCCAGGCCCCTACATGTGGTGCTGGGTGGGAGCCGGGCGGGGACTGACCTTGAGCGAGTCCACCCATCGGAAACTGGTGTCCTCCACAGGCAGGAAGATGGGGCTGTCCTGTGGGGCCGGCCGGCGGCACAGGAAGAGCACGGAGCCATAGAAGGACCTCTTCAGCGCCACCAGGTGCAGGGTTGCTCCAGCAAACAGGCTCTCCCACTCCCCCTGCACATATCCGGCGGTCAGCGCTCGGGGGGGTCTCCAGGCCTGGCCCCGCCCCTGCATCAGGCCCCACCCCCAGGCTCTGCCTCTGGACCCCCACCTGGCTCAGGAGGCTCTGCCTGCCAGGCTGTGGCTCCGGGCAGGTCAGGAAGGCTATTGTCTCCCCGAGGGGGTGTCCTCTGAGCAGGGTGTGCAGCAGCAGGAAGCCACCCTCCTTGACAGCGGCTGCCATGTTGCCAAGGGCTGTGGCCAGGTCCCTAAGGGTGGCCACAGCGAGGTTGCACACCAGGAGGTCAGCTGCACCCAGGCTGTTGGGGGCAGGCTCTGCAGGGTCCCACTCGCTCTGGGCCACCTCGTGCTGCTGAAGGCTGGCCTGGGCAGACTCCAGGGCCTGGGGGTGGCGATCGGTGGCCGTGTATTCCAGCTGCAACATGGGCTGGGTGTTGAGCAGCGCCGGGATGCGGGAGTACAGGTGGCCATCAGCAGCCAGCACCTGGAGGGAACAGTTCCTAGATTGCTACTGCCACTCTGACAGACATCTCTCTACAGGCTGCCAGAAAGGCCAGACCCCTATGGCCTGTCCCTGTGGTCCCAGCCGGAGATGAGGGAGGAACACCGGAACGGTAGCCTGGCAGTCTCAAGCCTGGAGCTCGTGTCGAACGGTCCCCTGGCGCGCCTCAGGTCTGGGCCTGCACAGATCTGGTACCCACCTCTACCACCTTCATCTTGAAGCTGGTCAAGTTCTCCCTGGCAGTGTCCACGCAGGCCTTGAGCGCTGGGGAGTCCAGGAGGCCGCTGAGCAGTGGGTCGCCATGCAGCAGGGGCCTCTCCCGGGCCAGCAACTGGCCCAGCTCCAGGTGCAGGTTCCCGTTGAGCTGTAGCTGGCAGGCGGCTGCCAGCAGCCGAGCCAGGCCGTGCTGCGGGGGGTCCCGGGGGACCTGGGCCCCATCCAGTCCAGGCACCACCATCTTCAGCCCCTGCTGGGCCACCTTGGTCTGCAGCACCTGTGCCAACCCTGAGGAGTCGGGGGAGACAGGCGCTAGGGAGGGGCCTCAGCTGGGCTGGTGTTTCCTGCCCCCCAGGCAGGTGTCTGATTGGAGCAGAGGCTTGGGGTGACCAGGACCCATGTGGCCTTGTCCTCCCAGGACACTGGACAAGCCAACAGATGGGGGAACAGAGTGGGCAGCGCAGTGTCCAGGGCTCAGCGCTGGCGTTAGCTGCGGAGCACTGGGTGTGTGCTGAGGGCAGAGGCTGCTGTGTTCCCCCACTAAGGCGTGAGCCCCACAAAGTGTGGGTCCCCAAGGAAGGTGAGTAAAGTGCCCCTAGATCCCCGGTTGCCCCACGAGCCTCCCGCCCCCCACCATTAGCACAAGTGTGAGCCCTCCGCAGGGACAGGGGGCCACCTGCAGGGACAGGCTCCGTGGATACCATGCCTAAGGGGATACAGCCAGGAGGGGCCCAATCTGTCCTGTTTGAGCCCTGGGCCCTCTCTGAGGACTGGGAGGTGGCTAACAGGGACGGGGGAGGCAACATCAGCTCTGGGTGGGGAGCCAGGCCAGCAGCGGGAGCGGGAGGCTCACAGGGGGCCTCAGGGAGGGCAAGTTCGCTCCAGGTGAAGGAGCGGACGGAGCCAGGACAGGTCCCAGGAACAGGCTGTGTGGGGAGACGAGGCGCCCACCACCAGAGGCTCACCCCGGCACCGCTGCAGCTCCTCCTGCAGGGCCACACTCCCGGCCAGGCACCTGCCCTCCACGTAGGGTGTGAAGCAGTACTTCTCCAGGATGGGCGCCAGCTGTTCCAGCTGCCGACGCGGGGCCACTGAGGTGTTCAGCCGTGAGATACGGATGCCACCAGCCACTATCCTCTGCAGACAGCTGTCCACCACCACATCAACAGCTGTGGGGACAGGCTGGTAAGCGCGGAGACGGGCTGGCACAGGGACAGTGTGGGAGAGCACAGGTGTGGGGGCCAGGCTACCTTGGGCCTCGCCCTGCAGTGCATACACCTGCCGCTGGTGGGTGGCCGGGTCAATGTGGACGGCGCCGATGCGGGTGGGCAGACGCAGGCTGCGCTGGCTGGAGCCCAGGATGGATGTCTGCAGCATGGCGTCCATGAAGGTCACCCAGTTGTTGTTCCACTGCAGCTGGCCTGTGCTGCCTGTGGTAGATGGGCCATCAGCTCAGCTAGACCAGGTCTCCTGTGCCCAGAAGCCCTGGGGTGCCGGTGGGCCCCTCACACCTCCCACTGCCTTCCCCCCCAGTTTGGGCGATGGTACAGTCACATGCACCTGGACACTGGGCAGCAGGTCAGACCCAGTCCAGCCTTAAGAGAGGGCTTGACCCCCCAAGCATCGAGTGGGGAGCCCTTGTGCCCCACCTTCCAGGTTGGCCTTGAGGATGCCCTGGAAGTGAGGGCCGTAGTTGTAGCCTCGCAGCCGCAGCTCCTTGTACACGTCCTCTTGGGCCAGATGGAACGTGGCCATGGGGCCCGCCGGGGCCGGGCCACCTCGACTGGCGAAGAGCTTGGGGTTGGGGTCCTCCCACTGGTACACCTTCCCTGTGGGCAGGGGTGTCAGAAGGGCCTGGGGGTGGGGGCGAGCCGAGCTGGGAGCCAGGGCTCCATCCAGGACCCCCATCACTCCACTCACCGCTCACTATCAGGTTGCCGTTCTCAGACACCTCGAAGGCGCGGGAAGCCTCCAGAAGCCGCACCTCCAGGGCCACGGGGCCTGTGAGCAGCAGGGTCAGAGGTCAGCCCCAGCGGCCAGCACACCCACCCCCCTCGGCGCCACCCTGCCTCACCTGTCTTAGGCAGGATGGTGGCCTGGTACAGTGTCACGTCCTCAAACACCACAGGCATCTGCTCCATATTTTCGTCCAGGGCGCGCGCCAGTGCTCTCCAGACCAGGCACAGGTAGCCGGTGGCGGGGAAGATGACACGGCCATTGATGCTGTGGTCCACCAGGTACTGGTCAGGGGACTCGGTTCTAGTGTCTGCACAGGCATGGGCCTTAGTGCCCTGCCAGGAGGGGCCGCACCCTGCTGCCCGCCACCCCACCATCCCACTCACCAATGTTGTAGACGGTGACGGAGGAGCAGCTAGAGCCACTGGAGAAGTCCCTGGCGGCAGGCACGTCCCAGGTCTGGCTGTGATCCCACTTGATGTGGGGGGAGATGAGTGGGGTCCCCCGGGGAGCTGGGAACTCCACAGGTGGGAACAGGCCATTGGGGTTGACGTCAATGCTGAGGGAGTGGGGGCAGAATTAGGGCACATCTGGCCCCGGGGCCACCCTGCCACACCCACTGCCATCAGGCACCAGAGGCTGCCGAGATGGGGTGAGGCCACAGTGAGGGTGCCCAGCGTGGCCTAACACCACTGGCCTGAGCCCTGCGGTTGGTCCCTCACTACAGAAGTGCCTGGGGTCACCCCGGGGGCCTCGCAGGGGCGCGGACCCACCCAGCCAGGTGGAGCTGGCCCACGTTGCTGAGGAAGAACTGCAGGTTGTCTGCGTGGTCTTTCTTCATCAGGGGGACGATGGAGCAGCTGGGCTTGAGGCCTCTCTTGAGGACGGCCTGCGCAGGGCACAGCGGGCTGGGGACTCCCTCAGGCGGTTGCTGCCCGCCCACAGTGCCCACAGGCCACAGAGCCCCGTGACCCTGACATGTCCCCAGGCTCAGACCCCCAGGTTCTCCTGGGCCCCCCCACCCCCATCACTGTCCTGCAGCCACGGGCCCGCCCGCCACCCTGGTCCTGGGGCGCACCTGCAGCAGGGCGTGGGGGGCGATCTCCAGCACCACGGCGTGCTCCGGCACGTGCCACAGCGCTTCCTGGAAGAGCACGGGGCTCACCAGGTTGTTGACGTTGTACTCAGCCGAGGACGTGCGGGCCAGGCTGCCCTGCCACTGGGCCTCGGGGATGGAGGTGCTGAGCCAGCGTGCGGAGCGGGGCCGTGGCTCACGGATCACCTGTGCACATGGCCCGTTGGGTCAGCACCAGGAGCCCGGCCCCACCGCCGCCTTTTGGAGGCCCCTCCAACAGCCCTGAGGGTGGCCGACCTACCTTCTTGAGTTCCCGAAGCAGTGAGGGGGCAATGTCCTCCATCAAGTGTGAGTGGAAGGCCAGGCCACCCGTCCGTACCTCCTTGGCGAACACGCCCTCCTTTCTCAGCTGCTGCACAAACTCGGACACTGCAGGCTGGGGGCAGGGGAAGGGGCTAGGTGATGAGTTCAGCCCCCTCAGAGAGCTCAACCCGTGTCAGGATACGGCCTTGCCTCCCAGTGCACACCTGAGGTCCCGAGATGGTCACCGTGTCCTTGGAGTTGTGGCAGGCGGGCACAACGCCCGGGGGGCAGCGGAGCTTACAGTCCTCCCAGGATAAGCCTGTGGGCAGAGACGGCCTCAGAGTGGCCTTAATGACCAGCCACGGTAATGACAGCCGCGGAGTGGAGCATTTACGAGGCACTTTCCCCATGCCCCATTCCATCTTGGGCAAAGGGGTTATTACCACGGTCCCACGGTTCCATTGGTGACAACACCCTAGGGTTCCTCTGTACAGTGGAGGCTGCAGCCTCCCCACTGCCAGGCCCCCGGGTCCCCTGCCTGCCTGAGGTGTGAGCAGTCCTCTCTCACCCACAGCCCCCCCAGAGCTGGGCGCCAACAGAGGGGTGCCAGAATGGGTCACCCCAATGACTTGACTTTATCGAAAGTCCTGCAGGTTCCTGTCCTCACATGGGTTCAGCTCAGGCTCATGTGAAGACAAGCACACTAGCCATTACCGATGCCCATCGGCGAGTATGCCGGGCACCAAGGCCACCAGGCATGGGGCAGCCACGTGGGTGTGTTTAAGGATAAAGGCCATCAAGCTGCCCCTAGGCCCCTGCTTCCACCCCTTCCAGGGAGACCCTCAGACCCAAGGGTGGAGTGGGATGGAGAACACGGGGTAACACCTACCCACGGCCGCCATGGCCCCTGGTGGGATGTTGGCCTCCTTGATACACTGGCCCCTCCAGTAGGCGGCAAGGATGGACTCCTCCCGAGAGAGGCAGCCGTCGGCATAGCCACAGGCCACCTCCCCCAGTGAGTGCCCAATGATGCCATCCGGCCTCAGGCCCATGGAGGTCAGCAGGTCTATGAGAGCGATCTGGGGATACAGACGTGTCACCTCAGCGCTGGGGATGTGAAGCTGCCGACTTGACTGTGCCCGTCAGGTCTAGCCCGCCCCTAGGCCCCAGCCCCAGTCCGTGAAGGCGCACCTGGATGGCAGTCAGGCTCACAAAGGCATTGACAGTGTCATCGAAGGTGGCCTCGTCCGTGCTCAGCAGCAGGTCCGCCACCTGCACGCCCAGGGGCTTCAAGGTCTCATCGGAACGCAGGACGGAGCTTCGGAAGCTGGCCAGGCGCATGAGGCTGAGCCCCATCCCGCGCCACTGCGTGCCCATCCCTGTGCCAGTGAGACGTTTCAGTGCGCAGCCGCCTAGCCAGGCAACCACTTGCCCCAGGAGGGCTGAGGACAGGACTCACCAGAGCAGATGAACCAGAGCGGGCGCTGGCCGTTGGGCACCTGCTGCAACTCCTGGCCGCTGCCCTCGCTGCCCAGCACGGCATAGCCACGGAAGGGCATGGTGGTGGTAGGGGTAGCCGCAATGTCATTGAGCATGCTCACGAAGGCCAGGTCCTGGTGGTGCTGGCGGCCTTGCTCCAGCAAGCTCTGCACAGCCTCAGTGGTACGCCCGCTGGCCAGCAGCAGGCGGGGCAGGGCAGCGTGCGGGGCGGGTGCCGGGGGCGGGCGTGAGTTGGGCTGGAGGATGACGTGCACATTGGAGCCGCCAAAGCCAAAGGAGTTGATGGCCACGTTGCCCCCACGGACGGGCAGGGGCTGGTCCACCACCTGCAGGCGCCCATCCCACAGCGCTGGGATTTCGGGGTTCGGGCTGTGGAAGTGCAGGTTGGGGGCCCAGAGTCCGTGCTCCAGGCACAGCAGCACCTGCAGGAGGCGGCAAGCAGTCCTGACAACTAAGTGGCCAGGCAGCTTGTCCCCACACTTCGCCCTGCCCCAGTGCAGGGCTGCAACAAGCAAGCTCCTGCCCACCTGGGCCCCTGCCACCTCCCAGGCCAAGTGGCTGGGGTCCTGGACACCAAGGCCTCAGCCAGACCTCACCTAGGTCCCCATGCGAGACCTGCGGCCGCCCAAGGGAGCACAGGAAGCTCCCCAAACCTAGGAGCCTGAGTGACGGTGACCTAGGTCCTCTGGTGACCAATGCCCGTCTCCCCAGCCAGCCCTCGCCCTCTGGTCAGAAGGCCTGCCTGGGCTGCCCCTGCCGTGTCAGCTCCCGTCGGCCACATGGAGCCAACACTCGGCAGAATGCAACCCAGTGAACTAGGGCATAGACCTCACACATGCTTGTGCCCTGCTGCCTGGGCCTCAGTGGCCAGCAGCTGCCATACGGACCATGGGGACCTCCCTCCACCAGGCGGCCCGGACCAGCCCACCCACCTTGGTCAGCCCCACCAGGCCCGAGGCAGGCTCTGCGTGCCCCATGTTCGACTTGGAGGACCCGATGAGCAGGGGTTCCTGGCGGGTGGTGCACAGGCTTTGGGCAATGCTATTCAGCTCCTGGGGATCGCCGACCTGAGGGGATACACAGCAGAGAAGGGGATGTCAGGACTACCTAGCGTCCCAAATGTGGGGGTGGGCATTGGCGTGGCCTCACCTTGGTGCCTGTGCCGTGGGCTTCAATGTACTCAAGGGACTCGGGGTCCAACCCGGCCGGCTCGTACAGGGAGCGTATGAGCTGCCCCTGGGTCTCTCCGGAGGGGAAGGTCACGCCTGCGGGAAGGGCAGGGCCTCAGCACTCTGATGGCTGACGGGCTGTGGCAGGCCCCCCCGCCCCCGGCCCGCTCCCACCTTCTTCCTTGAAGCCATCCGTATTGGTGCCTGTGTTCAGGATGGTGGCGTACACCCGCCGGGCCAGGGACTTCTTGGTCAGCAGGATGGCCACCACGGCCTCCGAGCGGCAGTAGCCATCCCCTGAGGTGAGAGGGCACCTCAGCCTCAGGGGTTCGGCGGACCCCAAACGCCCTGGGCTGTTAGGCGAGGCTGCCTTGCCGCCCCGGGCCCACCCCCGCCAGGGGCCTCACCGTCCTTGTCGAAGGACCTGCAGGTGCCGTTGGGGCTGAGCATGCCCAGCTTTAGGAACTGCACAGACGTGTTGGGCTTGAGCATGACATTGATGCCACCCACGAGGGCCGCGGGGCACTGCCCGCTGCGGATGGCCTGGTAGGCACTGTGCAGGGCCAGCAGGCTGGAGGAGCAGGCCGTGTCCAGAGCGACGCTGGGCCCTGGAGAAGAGCAGGCGCGGGGCTGTGAGCTCCGGGGGCCCGGGCAGCTCCGGTGGGGGAGGGGAGGCAAGCACCTGGGAGGGTCTTGCTGCCATCAGGCCCACACTCAACGGGGGCACCCACCTTTAAAGTTGAAATAGAAGGAGAGGCGGTTGGCCATCATGGCCCGCTGGCAGCCCACCATGCTGTAGCCCACGAGTGTCTCAGGGTCTCGGCTCAGAGCCTCTGAGGCCTCAGAGCCGCTCACACCCACCCAGACGCCGGTGTCTGTCCCTCGAAGCGAGGCAGGGTTGATGCCTGCGGGAAGCAGCGGTCAGACCCAGCAGCTGGACCCACTGGGACGCACTCTGCCACCCAGCTCTCAGGGCTGGCCCCTGTGACCCTCCTGGCTTGGGTGAGGGGGGCTCCATCTCAGCCTAACTGGAGAGGCGGGACAGGGCCAGGCAGAGGGAGCACAGCCGCAGCCAGCCCACGTAGGGCAAAGAACGGACGGTCGGATAACCAGGTCACAAGGAACTGGGGCGGGGGCGGGGGTGAGGTGGGAAGCTGGTGCCAGGTGGGGCTCTAGGCTCTGGGTCAGGCAGTGGCCAGAGACAGCCGGAGGAGAAGACAGAGGGCAGCATTGTCCTCAGACTACTCCCTTGGCCCCTGGTGTTGCGGACAGGGTCTGGTGAGCCCCAAGGGCCAATGAGCACCCAAGCCCCAAGGGCAGCCTGCCCTAGGACAGGGAAGATAAGAAGACAAAGGGAGACAAAGGCTGAATGTCTAGTCTCTTAAGGAGACACTGGGGGTGGGGGGAGAGTGGCATCCAAGGTCTCTGGATGGGGCCTGGGCAGTGGGGGGCCCCCAGGATCTGCTTGTCTCCCCTCCCCCCAGAGGAGTGTGTGCCCATAATCCTGTCATGTTCAGTGTCAGCCCCAGGGACTGGCTACTGTCTGCTGACCCAAGGTGAGAGCAGGTGGCCCCCAGGGTCCCCATCGGGGCCAGCCACCCCCCCTCCCCACAGGCAGAGTGGGCATATCAAGGACAGGTCTGTGCCCCAGGGGAGGGCAGAGTGAGGGCAGGAGTCCTGGAGCTCAGCACTAGCCCTCACCCCAGATCAGCCATGCGACGGGGAGCCAGCAAACTGGGACATCAGGGCATGCCTGGATCCGTCCCGCCGTTGTGACACCCCAGCCTGCCCCAGGGCCCACGCCTCCTGAGCCTCAGGCCCGGCCTCGGCTCCCCTTCCTCTTGGATTGGCTGTGCTCAGAGTTCCGCGCTGAACACGCGCTGCTTTTAGAAGCGCAAGTATGGAAACACTGCCTTCAGAGTGTGGCCCCAGGCTGGCCTGTAGCTCCTGATGACCCACCTCCGTCCACAATGGCCTCGTAGGAGACCTCGAGCAGCAGACGCAGCTGGGGGTCCATCGTATGCGCCTGCCTGGCGTGGACCCCAAAAAAGGTGGCGTCGAACTTGGACAGGTCCTTCAGCTTGCCAGACCGCTTGGGCAGGCTGTAGAGTCCTGCGGACACGGGCAGACAGAGCGCCTGTTATGGGACCCATGGTGGAGGCCCTGCTGCGATGGGAGCTGCGAGCTCCCCAGGAGGGCAGGCGGCAACCCCAAGAGGGGCCACTCTTCCAGGCCTGGGTGCCACTTGGCAGTGTGTGGCTGACTGTGACCACAGAGCGTGATGGGGCACAGCCGTGCGTCCCGCAGCCCACCACCATCCCGGACCCTCTGCCTGGCCTGAGCTGGGCCGGCCCCGCCACGCTGACTCACATCCTGTAGATCAGGTAGAGCCACCCTGCGGGGGAAGCTACTGGGTGTGAGGGAGTCAAACCAGCTTCCCGAGAACCTGGGACACACGGGCCAGCACTGGCTGGCCAGGCTCTCACCCACCTGCCGTCACCCTGGCCCTGCCCCCAGCTCTGGGACCCGGCAGGTCACCTAGCTCAGCTGTAACCAGGGCCGAGCCTCAGCCTTCCAAGGCCAGAGCCCAGAGCCCACTCACCGGCCTTCCATCGCCTGTCGTCATCCGTCACCATGTCCACGCCACCGATGAGGTTGTCCCAGAACTCCTGCACATTGTCCGACTCGGGCAGCTTTCCAGACATGCCAGCAATCACCACCTCCTCCATGCTGCTCCCTGCGGGGCGGATACTGGTCAGCTCTGGCCCTCACAGCATCTGCCCTCCTCCACCTGGCCCATCCATGGGTCTGGGAGCAGCAGCTCAGAAAGCCCCAGACCGAGGGCCAAGCACTCAGCTCCCAGTCCTGCGCCTTCGGGACGGATGCCCAGGGTGTGTGGGGGGTGAACTCTGACCCAGCCAGCGCTCACCGCTCGCTGGACTTTGTCACTGGCCTGTCACCTTTATGGCCCCGGCCTGGGGTGACACCACCATGGAGGGCCCTGCTGCCCTGTGCCTACCCCAACCTCCTGCTGCAGTGCTCCTGGAGGACCGTCCAGAGAAGGGCCCAATCCCTTCCCAGGACAGGGCCACCTGGCCTTCAGCCTGCTAAGAGCTGGCCCAGGAAATCAAGCAGAGAAGGAGAAAGGCCACCAAGGTTTGAGGGGAGGAAAACGTGAGGGTGGGGAGGAGCGCCAGCCGGCCCTTCTCTCAGCACCCCAGGCTGCCCTCCACGGCCCGATGCCACTCAGAGCTGCCCAGACTTGGGAGGGGCTGTGGGTGCCAAGGCCCACAGGGCTCTGGGGAAAGGTGGCCTCTGCCCCACCGTGGGCCAACCGGGAGAACCTTTCCTGGTCAGGTTCCAGGCAAGTGCTGCCCAGACCCACACACCTGTGCAGGGGAGACCGCAGGATACTACTTGCTTACCTCCACGCAGCCTACCTGACCCCATCCCCAAGGTGCCCACAGAGGGAGCCCTGGCCACCCTGAGCTTGTGGGTGCAGGAGGGGGCTCCTGTGCAGCCCCTGAGGGAAGGGGCAAAGTCAGACAGTCTAGCAACTTCTGCCAAGACCCTAGGGCCTTGCGGTGCTCATGACCTGTGGGCACACCAACCCTTGGCCTTCCTAGGTCTCTGCGAACGAGGGAGGGCTGAGTGGAAGACAGCAGCCACTTCCCTGGGTGGCCGAGTGTCCCCCGGCAGGCAGGGAGGGAGCCCCCTCCCCCAGCGCTGAATAAAGAGCTCTTTGCCGGCACAGGGGCACCAGCTCCGGGGCGGCTGCTTCCTCCAGAAAGCGCAGGCTCTGTTCTCCCCCTACTTGCTATTCACGCGGAGTCCGGCGGGGCCCAGGCGGGGGGTGGAGACCCCCGCAGCGCGCATGGCTTCGCCAGTCCGCCCCGCCGCCGCCACCGCGCCGGGCCAGAGCTGCTCGCCACCCCAAAACTTTGGGGGCTCTGCGCTGCGCCCACGTGGTGGGGAAGCCGGCCCCCACCCGGCTTCGGGGCCTCTCCACCACATCCATCCCTTCTTCCCCGTCCTCCGGTTGGCTGAAGGGGCGCCCCCAGCCGGGGCTGGGCCTCGGCTAATCGGCACACAAGGCGGGGGAGGTGCCGCGGGTCCAGGAGCTCAGGGGCCTGTCCCGCATGGAGACCTCTGGAGGCGCCCACAGGCCGGGCGCGCACCAGGCGGCGGGTGCTCCCACCGGCCCTCGGGGGTTCACGGCCACCTGGCCCACCCCACTCCGGGACCAAAATGGCTGTTCGCGGCACTCCCCGGCGTCCTCCCCTCGCCATCGCCCACATGCCCCAGCAGGCCTGGGCGCGGCGCACGGGCCCTTCACCACCCCGGCCCCGGACGCTCTACGGGGGCTCGGACCGCGAGGCCGGGGCTGGGCCTCGGGGGTCGACCTCGCACCAGGAGCGCGCCGGACCACGCGCGCCCCGAGGCCGGAGGATGCAGGCCGGCGGCGCCCTCCGAGCCCGGCCGCGCCGCCCCGGCCCCGGCCCCGGCCCCGCCGCTGGTACCTGGTCTGGGCGCGGGCGGCGATGCGGGCGGACGACTGAGCGAGGATGGAGCGCGGCGGCGGAGGAGGGGAGGCCGGGCCGCTGCCGTCTCTCTGGCTCCCTCTAGGCCGGCGCCGACTCTATTTAACTGCGGCCGTCCCCGCGCGGACACGCCACATGGGCTGACAGCTTGGCTGCGCCGCCCAGGCCAATGAGAGTCGGGGCTGCGCCCCGGGACCCGGCGCGCCGCCGCCAGTGGGGTGATGCCACACGCCGCCGCCGCCAAGACCCTGCGCGGGGCCGCGCCTGGGGGGGAGGCGCCGAGCGAGTGGGCCGAGGACTCGGGGGGCGCCGGGGCGGGGCGTGCCGTTCACCCCCGCCCCCCACTTCCGTTTCCCGCCCCGAGGGCACGCGGTGCGGCCCCACCCCCCCAGGGCCGCAGGGGCCACGTGTGCGCGGCGCGCGGGTTAAATGGGACCGGGCGTGTTTGGGCCACTCTGGGGGTCATAGTACGGCCACATATTGGCGTCCAGGCGGACCCCCCGAATGGACGGACGCACTAGCCAGCGTCTGGGCCGCGCACCGCCGATCGCGGGCGTGGCTCGTTTTGCCGCTGAGGCCAATCGGGGGCCGGGGGCGTGCGCGCCGGCCCAATGGCGGCGCGCGAGGGGGCGTTGCTAGGCGATAGGGTGATGGGCCGGCCCCAGCAATGCGCGGGCCGCCGCGGGCGAGCGCGGTCGTTGACCCAGCCGAGGGCGCACCGGCCGGGGTTATTGCCGGTCAGCGCAGCTCGGGTCTGGTCTTCCCTGCCCGGCCGGCCCACGTGGGCCGGCGCGGGAACCCGGGCGGACGCCTCCCGAGCAAGGCAGGGGCCGAGCGGGCGCACCCCCGGCTCCCCGGAGCCGGCCGCAGGGAGGGGGCGCGGCCATGTGGCGAACGGGCTGGGCTCTGCGCGGACACCGCTTGGTGTGATTCGAACAAAGGAGCCTCCCCGGGCAGAGGCACTCGCGCGCGCATGTGGCCACTGGCACCCACGCGCGCTCACGCGCACCGGCGGAGGCTCAGCTCTGCGTCTCGGCTCACGGGCGCGCCCTCCCTTGTAATTCTGCTCAAACGGTTATGGAACTTACAGCTCCCTGCTCCGCTACTCACTGGGGGCTTCCTGCTCCCGCACAGTGGAAGGAAGGGCAGGACAAGAAACGGGGACAGCTTGGAGGTCCCACAGCAGAACTACTGTTCTGAACCTCTCCACGGGTTGTCCTTTCTCTTCTGATTTAAGAGCTTATCAGATACCTGGGGCCCCCGGGGGCCAGGAGCGGCCGGGCGAGCTGGGCTCCAGACCCCGGGCTCGCACCAGAGGGCAGGCGGGTCGGAGACTCGCTCAGGGGCTCTTAGCGTGAGTCTACCGAAAGTGACCCGGCATCTCCATTCACTTTCAACCAAAGGAAGTCACACGGCCTCGCTGCATTTCAAGGGGCAATGCAGGAAACAGCAGAGTCCCGACGCCCATCCCCCCCCCCCATCCCCGCGGAGCTGCTCCGGCTTGCAGCTTCCGGGAGGCGCAGACCGAGTCACCGCCATTGCCTTGCTCCCAAACGCCCGCGCGCCCAGTGCAGGCAGTTCTGGCCCCGTGGGAGGGCCGACCCCCATGCCCGCGTGTGTTCACGGGGGGCTGCATGAAACACACACCGATGCACAGGGCGGCACGAGCCACGGCAGAGCACACCAGGTCTGCTCTCCGGGCCCTGCATCCTGCAGCACCTGTGAGCCAGGCAGGTAGATGACGCCGTCCACATTTTACAGGGGACACTGTCACACAGCGGCACAGTAGGGAGGGCTAGGTGCGTCCTTCCCCATCCCCTCCTTCCTCCCGGAGGGAAGCCTCAGCGCTGCGTCCATGCTGCCTGGGGGCACAGTCCTGCTTCATCCACCTGGGGTGGGGACCAGCCTGTCAACCGGGTGCTGTGCCAACCGGGGGCAGACACCAGCGGACAAAAGGGCTGAGGACTCGGAGAGTTAAGGAACACAGGGCCGTCTTCCCACACTGCCCTCCCTCCCAAGGCAGGGGACGTGGCTGTGACAGCCTAGAACCCACGCGTGTCAGCACGTGCAGCTATGATCCCCAGGACGTGTTTTTCTGGTGGGGGAGAATGGGTGTGGCTTTGCAGCACCTGGAGTGACAAGCGTCAGTTTGTGTATGTTTTTCACCCTCGTAGGTGCCCGGTCTGGGGCCACCTCCACCCCAGCAGCACCCCGACGCACGTGTGCAAGCACAACAGAGCATGTGGGGGAAGCTTGGGGAGGCAGCCTCTGGTCTGGCTGTGGGGTCACCGCGCTTCATGGTCCTCACTCCTCCTGGTCCGTGCTCTGTGGTGTCCACCTGCTGTGCGGTGGACCTCTGCTCTCCATGCCCTGCAGCGTGCAGGTGGCTGTGGGCAGTGACATGGGCAGACCAGCTCTCCTAGGCCCAGCACTGATACCCAGACACCTTCTCCCAAGTAGAGCAGGTAAACAGTTCCCAGGCCAGCGAGCAACCAGCTTTAATGGGGTCTGCACTCAGTCTGTGAGGCATCCCAGCAGCACTGGGGAACCTGTGCTGCAGCTCACAGCCCACCCCCATGTGTGCACACACACGCACAGGTGTGCACATGCACTGACACCCCCCCCCCCTAATGTGCAGATTAAAGCACAGGCCCCAAGCACCAACTAGGAGTGGGAGAGGAGAGAAGGGGCGTGGGGAGGGGAGGGGCAGCCAAGGGGGTTAGTCCTTGAAGTTGTAGTTCCGGACCTTTGGGGGCCGCTGGCAGCCTTTAGGTTTTGCATAGTGGGCTCTGGAGGGTCTTTCAGGCTTGGCCTGGGCTTCCATCTTCTTCCCTTTGATAGCCATGGGGCTCCTGTGAGGGTGTGGGAAGCTGCCGGCTGCTGGAGGTGCTGTGAGCTCTACCAGGTGAGAGAGAGGAGAGAAAGGCGGTTACATTGCGGGGCAGGAAGCCATGTGCTTAGAAAGCAGCTCACGGAGTGTACAGCTGGCTGTGGTCCCTGCCAGCAGGGACAGAGACCCCACGCCCTGGCTGTGCAGGTCAAAGGCCCTCCCGTGGTGACCGCTCAGTAGCAGCAAGGTCCCATCCCAGTGTCGCCGCCCTGGAGGTCTGTGGGCACATGCTCTCCAGATGCTTCGCAGGGCCTGAGCCTGTCCCTCCACTGGGTACACAGTACATTCGGTCCTGAAAACTCCGTCTCCTATCATGACCATTTGGTAATTTTTTCATGGAGGGGGTACCGAGGTTAACGGTTGACTCGTGACACATCCTCGGCCCTTGCCCACTCTCAGCCAGCCTCCGCACCTCCAACTGCCCAGCTGCCCGGACATGCGTGGTCAGGCACAGGCCAAGGACCCAGGCACGCCAGCACATGTCCCCACGCGGGCCAGCACGCCCTTCCTCTGCACTGGGGCTTCCATGGTGCTTTTCTTTATCCTTCGAAATTCTGTTTTCCAAGTTTTTGGAACCAAGTTTTTGTTTGGTAAAACAAAAAGGATGTTATTAAAAAGCAATTATAAGATGCAAGGTCAAGACTTGCTCTCCCTTGGGATGGGCCCAGCAGGCAGGCCCAGGGTTTCGGCGGCCGGGAGCTCCACACTGGAAGGAACAGCAGCCCAGGGCGGAGGCCGAGGGGGGCTGGCCCGCGCAGCGCCAGCATCTGTCGTGTGGGAGGCACACTGCGGGGAGGCACACTGCCTGACCAGCGTCACCCTGGGCCTGGCCGTGTGAGCTGTGGGGAGAGCAAGGTCTGGAGGGACCATGTGCGGTACAAGTGGGAGCACTGGATGGCGGGGACAGATCCAGGTGAGACCTGAGGCTGAGGGAGGGAGAGCAGGGCTGCAGACGACCTGCGCCAGGGCGGGTGTGGAGCCAGGGGCTGTGGGAAGCGTGCACAGGCGAGGCACGCAGGGCTTGCTGCCACCCTTCTGTCCTTCCAGGCAATGTCTCCAGTAAGCTGTGGTCTGCGAACATGCCCCGGCCCCTGGCCCTCACCTGGGGCCCCTGGAGCTGGTCCACTGTCCCCTCAGCCTCCCCGGGTTCACACACCCCATGGCCTCCCTCTGCCTTCGGACCCAGTCCTGGCGCCAGGCCTCCCAGCACCCTGGTCCTGGAGGGACGAGGATGTGGGTCCCTAGACGCTCCTGCTTCGTGCCGCCATAGCCGCTTCTCCAGGAAAACGCCTGCATCTTTGGTTCTCTGGCCCCAGACTAAATTCAGCCTCCACATGCAGGCCCTCCCACGTGAGCCTACAGGCCGACCTGGGCACTGCCCTCTGCTCGCTTGGTTTCCTTCTAGAAGGCATTGGCCAGCATGGAGGGGCGGGGTCAGGACCCTGACCACTGTTTGACGCGGGGGGATCCCTCCCCACAATGCGGGGGACTGTCCCTCCTGGGTTTTCAACGCTGCCTGGGTGCTCCTGGAAAAGGGGAGGCTTAGGGAGGAGGGCAGCCCAGGCCCAAAGCTCTGTGATGATGAGCAGGGAGGGGAACGCAGCCAAAGCAAAGAGGCTGGAGGGCAGAGGGCCGCTGTGCAGTCTCCCAAGGAGCCCCCAGGAGGTGGCCGGTGCCTCCAGGACGGGGCCAAGCTGGCTCCCGTCTGAGTAACCTGAGCTGCCCTTCTCTTTCTCCAGCGCCCTGTTCTGCCCGCCCAGCCCAGGCTCCCCTTCCAGCGCTGGGTACCGATCAGGCCTTGGGGAAGTGGCCCGGGCACAGGGGTTCCTCCTGGGACTCTGCTAGTCCCTGAGCCCTCGGCCCCTTCCCGGCTGGGCCTGCACGATGGGCCCGCGTACAGGGTGGAGGTCTCTTGTCTCAGGGCCTCCCAGGGCTCCGGACACATGGGCAGCGCTGGTCCCAGCTCTCTGGTGGCTCAGGCTGCGGCCCGGCTCCCGTCAGCGTCACCGGCCTCCAGGTCGGGCTACGAGGGTGACCCTGAGCACGTGTTCCCTGGGCTTCCGAGGGCAGTCTTCTGTTTCCACTGTCCCCCACCTCCTCTCTGGGGGAGCTGCTGAGATCCCTCTCCTGCTTCCTCCCAGGCCCTGAGTTCAACACTTCTCAAATGGGACACATTACACCCCTAGGTCTCGGTCTCCTCACCCTGAACCTCCTTTCTGATCAGTGTTTCAAATTAAATGAAGTCACACACAACCGTCCCGGGCAACCTAGCGTGGTAGGGAAGGCGCCCCAGGCCCTCAGCGTGTGTGGGACGTGGATGGGGACATGACCTCCCTCGCCCAGCCCCAGCCCCAGGTTTCCAGAAGCTGTAAGCTAATTCCCGGGACCCTGCCTGCCCCCTCCCCCCAGCCACCCTTCAGGGAGCTGCTGCTGCCCTTGGTGCCCAGGCTCTGGGCCGAACTCCGACTCAACAGGGTGGGGAAGAGGCAGGCGGGGCACACAGCTCCTTCAACCCCGGCCTGGGCTGGGGTGCTGACCACCGACCTATCCCTGCAAACACCCCTCACTTCCCAAGGCTCACCCCCCACACCAGCCCTAACTGCTCCCGCCTAACACCATTTTCAGGGGCACCTCCCCGCCTGGTTCCAGGCTCATCCAGACCTGTCTGCTTCCGTCCTGGGCTGTGAGAAGGGCCCTGAGCGGCAGGGAGCACACAAGGCCATGAGGGAGTTTCGGGGACATGCTCTGTGGGCAGAGGATTGCAGAGCCTGGATCTGCCCTAGGGGGAGGGGGAGCGGGTACCAGCCCAGTTGGGCACACAGGCCCCGGCCCCCCCGGCCCCCAGGGGACCGCTCCCCTCTCCCTGACCCTGTCTGAGGGTCAGCTGGGAGAGGCCCGTGGTCAGGTGGGCAAGCCAGGACAGAGGCCAGTTTGGTGGCAACTGGGGGGGACAGGGAGGTGGCTGAGGGTGGCGGCCAGGCCACAAGCCTGGTTTGGCCCCCACTTTGGAGGGCAGAGAGCCCAGAGGGGGAGGAGGTGCAGAGAGCTGCTGGGCTGTGGTGGCTGCAAACTGGCTTCAGGATGCTGGAAGGACCCTGGGCTGCACTCACTCAGCTGGGGCCTCTGTAAGGTGCTGTGTGGGGCCAGCAGGAGGGCACGGCCAACAGTGGGGTGGGGTGGACTCTGACCTGACTTTTCAGAGACCTAAGCCCAAACACTGGATAAACGAGATAAAATTCATGAAAGACACATTTTCAAAAGGGGCCCACGGGGGCTGGGATCAGCTAGCCTGCTCTAGGCGGCCCCCAGTGTCCCGGGACCTCCGGCAGCAGGGCCATCCTCATGTCCTGGTGCAGACCAGCAGGCCACACACGGCCACAGGCTGCTCTCTGCTCCTCTTGGCGGCGGGGGGTGGGGTGGGGTGGGGACGACGATGGGATGACAGCTGTCAGTGAGGCAACGCTGTCCTTTTCCACAGAAACGTGGTCCCCTAGGGAGGGCCGCCCATCTCGCTCCGGCGCCAAGAGCAGTGAGCCTGGCCAGGGGCCTCCCCATGCCAGGCCAAGCCCCAGAAATCGCTCTCTGGAGGTCTGCTGATGGCCCTTTGGGCCTGGCAGGAGAGGCTCTGGGATGGCCATGCCGATGGAACGTGCTGTGTGGCCGGCTGTTCCCTGTTCGAGTGGAGACCGAGTGGGAAGCAGGGTGGCTGTGGCCACGTGCACAGGCCCCTCAAGGCTCTTGGGGGGGCAAAGCTCTCCATGCACACACCTGCCTCGGCGTCCTGTCTTACACAGGACCGTGGTGGCCCCATCCTGATGGGTGGTATTGGGCCTAGGGGCACAGCTCCCGCCCTCAGGAAGCAGGGCCAGGCACCCCGATGGAGATGGCTGCACCCAAGCTCTTCCTGGCTTCCCTCGGGAGGCATGGCTGGGCAACAGTGTCCTTGTCACTGTGCTGGGCTCAAGGAGGCTCCTGAAATGGACCAAGTAGACAGAGCTGCTGGATCTACCTTCTTCCCCACAGCATGCGCTGCACCCGTCACCTCCTTCCTGGCCCCACTGAAATGCTAGCCTGCAGGAAGTTGGCCTCCGGAAGGCCCTCTGCCCATGAGCCTGGAGTGGGCATCTCAGCTCCAACCCACACCGCCTGTGGGCCGGACCTCGGGGTACAAGGCACTTGTGCCATGGAGAGGCCAGCAGATGGCGGGGCCACCAGGAAGGGTGATGGGGTCAGTGTGTGGGTGTCACAAGGAGCAGCCTGGGAGGGGGCAGCCCCAGCTCTTGGCGGAGGTGGACATCTCAGGCCCCCAGCACCCTTGTTATACTCTCCGTGCTCCCCTGGCAACACCCAGAGAAGATGCCACACCAGTCCTGGCACAGTGCCCTCCCCTGGCAAGTAAGTTAGAGGGTCAGCGTCTGCCCAGAGATAGGGCTACCCCTGGGCGGGGCCTGGCACAGAGGAGGAACTAGCCCCCTGCATCAGCCGCCCTCAGCTCCCCACTGTGCTGGATGCTGTCAGGACGGACGGACACTTACAGAACAGGATCCACAGAACGGGTCTGGCTCTAGGGCCTGCAGCCAGCGCATGGACAGCTAGGCAGGTGAGTGCATCTCAGCGATGAAAGCTCACCTCGGGAGAGGCAGTGTTCCTGGGGAGGCTCAGCCCATCTCCCTGAGTGGCCGCAGCTCCGCCCCTCCACCCCCTGGTCCCACCTGGCTTCTGGCCACACTGGTTCTGGGCAGTGAGCCAGAGGCTGATCTCCAGGCGGGCTAGCTCCTTGACTTTGCAGCATGTAGACAGCAAGTGGCCACCACCAGTGGCCAGCAGCCGCCATGGCCAACAGGAAGAACGGTCTTTGTTAGCTCCTTGGTCAGGCACCCTGGGGGAACAGCTGAAACAGGTACCTGCTGGAGTTCTGAGCGTCTGACCTACGCCCCCACCCATGGATGAGGTGCCCCTTCTGTGGACAGCTGGGCTTTTCTGCCCATCCAAAGGGGTCCCTCAGTCC